CCATGAATTAATAAGGAGCAGGCTATATAAAGGGAGTTCATCAATATAAAATACCTTAAGAAAATTTCCCCCTTTGTCTTTGTTATCAATATTGTGTTCTCTTCAATCTCAATATTTTATCTTCTTCTGAAATATTAAATTCTAGAAAGCAAAGAAAATGAGTTACAGTAAGAAGAAAAACAGTGATTTCTCTTCTTCCCTTAGGCCATTTCTTTCGTGCTTCTTCATTAAAAATGAAAGCAAAGTTGAGAAAAAATCGATATCTGGACTTGAGGCAACTATGATATCTGCAGCCAAGCATTTTTCATCAGCTCACAAAGTTCGGTTGATTTAGTTGTTTCTGTGGGTATATTTGGTATGAAAAACAGAAAATTAGTCGTTTTCTTGCAATCAAACACCAAAAAATATTTTCCGTTAAAAATATGATTTCTAAATTTTCAGTGTTAGATAGTGAGATAAAGTTTCATTTGGAAAATTTTCCAAAAAATATTATCCATCGTGCAAAGACACTATTGTAGCTCGGGTAACACTAGGTGATTCATTACTTCGGATGGGGATATATTCAATGAATTAATTTGCCTATTCTACTATTACTATAATCAGTGGCGGTTCCTGAATTTTGATGCCGCCGATTCTGAATTGAGAAAGTGAGTATATTGTTTTGTGCATAGTTATGGCATAATATTGAGTATTGACAACAAATAAATGTATGGAACCCTTTGTAATCAAGGGTGGATGTAGCCCTATAGTAACGGGTCAGTTAAACTCGTAATATTAACGCGGAACATAAATTTATGTGTAAAAATCATTAAAATAGTAATAAAGTATTGATATGAACCCATAACTTTAACTAATTTTACGGGTTAAAGTTTTTAGACACTTAACAGAGGCACACTTAAACAGTAAGAAAATAGAAACTAGAATGGTCTCATACATTTGTACTGCTTTTCTTCCACTTGACTTCTCCAAAATGACATCAGTTCATCAAACTGCACATTACGGAAATCAAAGTACACATTTTAACATCATTCTTGTATTTAGGAAAACACTAAGTGACATATATACTAATATATCAATTACATTCATTATTCTTCATGTTACGAGATGGATCAATAGCAAGTTGAATGGTGTTGATTGCTTTGCGAATAAATTATGCAGACATTATAATGCATATATTTTAAGGCCGGAAAAGTCTCTTGCAGAAATGCAAGATAAGGTTGCGTACGATAGACCCTTATGGTCCGACACTTCCTCGGACCCCCGCCTAGCGGGAGCTTAGTGCACCGGCTGCCCAGATATTGTAAAACGAGGAGTAATAATCATTGGATAATATAGTGTATATGTTTTTTTGGATGGATGTTTGTTCATTGCATGAAAATGGATGAAAAGTTCTACTTCATACTAACAAGTACAACAACAACGACAATAACATAATGTGTATCGGTCTTGAGATGATGGTGTGTATGCAGATCTTACCCCTAACTTTGTGGGATAGAGACACTATTTCTGATTGACTATCGGCTCAAGAAAAGTGTTTTCCAAAACAGGTTTGAAAAATTCACTTCGAATGAACAATTAAACTAGTTAGGCTTATAAAACTAACATACCCATTTTTGTCCACGAATCTCAGGAAATAATGTTGGATTTGACTCTTGATCAATGCAAACTCTGTGTGTTTCATCCATTTTTATTTCATCTTCTTCTGATTCACTAAGATCAAAAGGAAACTCACAAGGGTCCAACTCCAAACTAACTTGCCTCTCCTGATCATGATTTCCTTCAGTTGATAACTCAATTATCTTTTTGGGACATTTATGCATAATCTCTGGCAATAGTAAACCAAACATGTAAACAGACCAAGCTGGAAAGAGTAAGATTAAAGACATGATATGAAAATCATAGCAGGAAGCAAAATTGGAAGAAAAAATAAGCCAAGAAAAAGAATGAAACATAGCTTGAAAACTAGAAGCATTGACTATAGTACTATACTTTGATTAATGCTTTATAATGAAGATTGAAACTTAGGAAGTGGGATTGGAATTCAATGTTTTTGCTATATTTAAGTCAGCATATATATCTAGATTCTTAGAAGTTATGAAGATTGGATCTTAGGAAATGGAGTTCAATATTTTGTTATATATCTAAGTCAGCCTATCTAGATTTAGTAAGTTCTCTAGTAAGTGAGCATTCATGAACGTGTTGACTATAGCCCAAATTATTTTGGATCCATTTGGTAGTTGAATGATCTGACAGAAGCCACATTCTCTCATTAATTTTTCATTCGTGCCAAGTTAGACCTACTAAGAGATAAAGCGCTCTTTATCAATAGGTGTTTTGTTTTAGTGACTCTAACTTGAGATTTCTAATTATTACCACAAATAAAAAAAAATTAATCTTAGTAGTTAAAAAATAAAGTGAGAATACATATCACTTATTAACCGTTTAAGTTGTGTGACATTGTCAATATAACAAAATAGGGATCTAAGTATATAAACTAGTAGTATACTACTTGTAAACTAGCCGTGAATTTTAATGTGATAGCATTATGTTAGTTATCATTATTTTATCAGATTATCCATTAATGTTTATGAAGAGATTGACTTGTAGTTACCTACCGGTGACTTGATTATGTAAATAATTTTACACCATTACTTTAAACTCAAAAATTATTTACACAATCAAGTCACTTATAAAATAATTAAAAATAAAGTGTAATAAATGACCAGCTCTTACAAATTAAACTACATTAATAGTGCAAAAATAATCTTTACGTTATCAATATTAATGACTCTTAACAAGAACTTCACAAAGCAAAAAAGGAAAAGGAAGTAACTAATTAGATTATTTTGTATTTTAATGTACTATATTTTAATCCTTTATCTACTCTTTTTATATTAGGTCTTGGAGTAAATCCGGCATATCCGTTAAATAATCTCATTATCCATGCATTTTGTTGGTGTGCATTTGTTGTCATATTTTTCTTATTGCGTGTAAATATTGGGCAATATCAATTTTCTATTCAAATATTCAAAAGGCAAACACCATGGTATTTGGAAATAGAATAGCTCTACTTGGGGTGGCCATTTGGTTCACGGATAAGTTATAATAGCTCGATAGTTGTAAGATTAATTGTAATACAGTCAGGAGTGGTATATTTTGTGTTTCACAAATTGGTTCTTTCTTCTTTTAATTTTTGGGTCAAGCTCATATTTTTGCAACTTA